TACCTACCTACCTACCTCAAACTTGCACGCTCCCCTCCCTAATCAATCTGCACACTCTAATTTTGAAAGTGTTAAAGTTGTTATCATTCCATCAAAATTTTGCACATTCCTTATGGTGTTTCATGATTGTTCTTAGCACTGATGATGACTAATATTTTGATCGCAATTGTCTTCACAGGTCGACGAATAGATGCTGATTGTGAGCATAACAGTACACAATTGTATTGTTATGGTTATGTGCAATTTGCATGCACTATTATTTGATAAAGTTGCATTTCATTTATCAACTATCGTCTATTCCCCGGGGTTGAGACAGGATCGGATCGGGTAGGAGCCTTCGAAGAAATGAAATACAGCCCTAGTTTGTATCATGTTTCTAGTGCTATTTTGTAATCGATAGATTAAACTGGATAATATGAATCAACTTTGTGCTTAGTAATGTCAACAAGTTTTAGATTTGATGAGAAATTTGGATTGGTTCGTAAACGTATGTTAGATTTGGTTGATTGAATCAGAGCAGGGTACTTGGTTGAAGATGGGGAGGAAGGAGAGCTAGCAAGAGTTAACTTTGATTGATAGGCATACTTTAGTGAGGTGAAAATTAAATTGATACACAGATATGGAGTTGAGTTCAAGTTTATGTTAAGAAATTATTGAGTAGTGCATAAATTTAGAATGAGCTCATATACACGACATGAATGAGCGTGTTTACGCTAATTCATTCATCTGAATTAATTTTGAGCTTTTACTTGAGTTGATTTAAATGCATACTTCGAGCGCTTATTGACGTCATTCAATGCTATCATACTGAAGTTTCATTAATCATTCTCAATATAAATTTGTTGATGGGTTTAAGTCTTTTTGAAGGAATTTCATGAGAATGCCGTCTGTTCTTGTCATGCAGAATTAAAATTGCATGAGAAGTTGATTTTTGATTGATTGATTACATTTGAGATAAGTCGAACGTTTTTTTTTNTTTTTTTTTCTGATTTTGAGAGTGAAATGTATTCGTGATTGGTGAGCTTGTTATTAGCATTCAGTTCGAATTTATTTATTTATGCATAAAATTATTCGATAAACGAAGTGCGTGCTTAAGAAGACAACATGTCACTCTAATGGCGACTCGTTGTCTCTTTTCAGTGTGCCATATTGCAGTGATCAAAAGTTAAAATGTTGTGAGAGTAGTTGAAGAAGTGTGTTAGGAATAAGCAAAATGTCAATGTGTTCAGGTTTAATGCTTAAAAGCTGTTTATTGCACGAACGAATATATCATATCCGAGCATATATAGGCATGCATCACATAACTGATCGAAGTGCCGATATGATCAAATTATATACTGTCATAATTTTGAATATCATCAAACAACTTCACTGGTGTCATAATAACATATCTAATTAAATGGTACGATTCCGTATCGAATTAGGTTATTTGAGTTCTGCTGTTTCGCTTTTCACTGTTGAATTGTTGTTGATAGTACATCCGGTTCGACCACTCGTCGTATCGAACTGCATTGTTGAGCAATAATTATACTGGAAAAGTTTTGAGATTATAAATGGAATATGACATGATGATTAGAAGTCGGATTGTGCTGACTGCTGACAATGAGCTGTTCAAAGAGAAACAATTGCTGATTGAAATAACGAGTCAATTGATATTGTTTTGTTCAAATTTTTATGATTTTGGGCTGTAGAAGTATTTTATAGTTACCAGTCTGAATTCGACGATTTTGAAATTCGATTTGGAACTTAATTGAATGAACGTTAGGTAACTAGACGTGTTCACAGATTTTAGACATTCAATGCTATCATACTGAAGTTTCATTAATCATTCTCAATATAAATTTGTTGATGGGTTTAAGTCTTTTTGAAGGAATTTCATGAGAATGTCGTCTGTTCTTGTCATGCAGAATTAAAATTGCATGAGAAGTTGATTTTTGATTGATTGATTACATTTGAGATAAGTCGAACGTTTTTGATTGATTACATTTGAGAAAGAGTAACGAAGGTGACCGAATGAGATTTGGGTCCGGCTGGAATTGGACTGAACACACTTCTGCCGAATTTGTTTTTTCCGATTCCGAACTTTAATGAAAACCGAAAATATGAAATAATGCTCAGAGCGGTAATTCGGTCAGAATCCGACCGAGTTAAAAAAACCATCACTAATTTGATGTATTATATGTTGATTTAGAGCTGGCGAAAACGAGGAGGATTGTGTAATACTCAATGATGAGTGATAGGTTGATAAAGGATTCATTGATGTTCTGAGACAGATATCAATGATGATGATGAAATTAATGAAAGGATACAACACAGTAACTCACGACATGTGACTGCATGTGGCTGTGTTGAGAAGCGAATTGATTGCACGTCAATAAGCGCTTGAAACACGTTCGAAATTCTCTGTTGAAAACCGTGTATATGATTGGATTGAGTGCCGAGTTGAGGTATCCCAACCAGAAGAGAATCGACCATATCACGGGCGTTGTCTGGATGGCAAACCCGTACAAAATGCTGAAACCAAGCCAGCAGAAGATGAAACATCCGGTCACGATCGCAACCGTCTTCGCTGCTTTGATCTCGGTCGAGAGGTGCCTTTCGTATGCGTACATGGCGTTATCGCGATGCTTACGATAGATTAGACGTTGTATGAGATGATTCGATTTGTTGTGAACATTCGGACTGAGGCGGTTCGATTTGGATTTGATTGCGATATCATTATGACTCTTTAAGTGTTTAGTTGATGGATTGTGTTCAACTGAATCATTTTGCATCGCGCTGAAATTTGCGTTGGTAATTAGTCGTTCATTCAGCGATTAGGTTGCTGAATGAAAATGAGGATGTGAAAAAAAAGTAATTTGAGAGGGGAATAAATGTTGAGGATTCCGTTTCCGATTTCACTAAATTCGAGTGCTTTTCTCGAGATAATGAGCCTTTCGAGGAGCGGCAACTGCTCGTTATCCTAGAAATTCAGTAGTGTTACCAATAAATAACTGCGGCTGACGAGGATGTTAAGATTGTTGAAGTAAGGAGACCGTAAAAATGATAGAGACATATTTACTGTTTGATTTGAAAATGTTAATTGAATAATGTGATAGTAGAATGAAGGAAAAAAGAACATATTAAAATGAAACGCTGTGAACCTGGGTTGTTGGTGATGGTATCGATTAGTGAGGTTCGTATTGTTATTGCGACGTATGGTCGGACCGCGATGCATTCTCAGTACAGTTGATGTGCTTTGGGACGGTAGGTTAGTGTGAATATGAGAAGTGTTACGTTTTCGTAGCATAAAACTGTGTCGCATCAGGAACGATTTGGCGTCGAGATTATCCGATGATAAGTTCACATTTTGGTCGGTAGCTTTTTGGAGAGGATCCGTATAATTGCTGGAGTTGATAGGCATCATCCCTGAATGTACATTCTTGGTGGCATCACGTGCCACCAGATAGATTCGAAAATACACGAATACCACAACGATCATCGGAATGTAGAAACTAGACGATGCGCTGAAATTACTCTAGTGGTCGAGTTGTAATTACACTTTCGTTGTTTGGTTATCATTGATGCACATATTCATGAGGTATGAGCTATTTATAACTATTCATATTTAGTAGGTTGCCTAGGTTGTGATTATCCATATTCACTTTAGTCGCTTCTAAATTATCCAGTGGGGTATAGGATGGCTAAGCTGTAGTTTTTTTAGTTGAAAAAAATTGTTAGTGTCGAGTATTCATTAGTAGTGATAGATGGATTGGCTGTCACATTATTAATGCTAGCATACTCACTATCAGTTACGTTGAGTTGATCGCATTCAAGTCATGTTTCTTGTTGATTTTACTTCATTACCTATTCCCTTCAATCTCTTTTTTTTCATTCATTCCTTATCGATTCCTCATTCCTTATTCATTCGTTTCGATTCAAAGTAAATTAAATTGAAAGTGCTTCGAATCAGCATTATAAGTTGTTTATTCTTTGAATGTTTATTAATTCTATCATTAAGCATTCTCTCTATCCCATAAAAATTTTTATTGACGAAGGAACATAATCCAATTCATTTCATTAATTCAGGACATCTAATTTTTTCAAAGAAAAATTTCATTTAGATCAGAGTATTGTAAAATTGGATCAGTCTTAAAATTAGATTTTCGGGCTAAGACGAAATAAAAGTTTTGGATGTGGAGGGAGGTGGTGTGTGATTGAGTGAAAAGAATACCTGAAAATGATGTAAGCAGTGCCGGCATAAGCAGGAGTGCATTTGCACAAATCCTCAAGTGGTTTATCGTGGCTAGCCAGTATGAAGCTGGGACTGCAAACCACGAAAGAGGACACCCAAACGAGTGCCACAATACAGCGTGCGCGACATTTGGTGATGATTAGTGGGTAGTTGAGTGGTTTCAGTATGGCAATGTAACGGTCCACTGAGATGGCGACTAGGTTGTAGATGGATGCCGTACACATCCAAATGTCCATCGTGAGCCACATTGTGCACCAGCTGTCACCGAACACCCACAACCCGTCGAGCACCTCGTTGGCCATGCTGAACGGTAGAATTACCACTCCAACCTGAATTATTTGAATTATTGCATCCACCTGGTGGTTCGGAGGATGGATTTGATTCATAGAGTGATCTTTTTGATTTTGTGCTCTTTAAGCAGGAATGCGAATAATGTACCCCGAATGGAGTGATAGATCGGCAAGATTGTCGGCAGTTTCATTTGTTTGCATTATTGCGGAAGATATTCTCTTTATGATTTGAGGTTTTCAGTGGGAATGAGTAAAAATGCTTGATATGAAAGTGCTTATAGAATTGGTTTGATTGAATGAACTTGGTGAATTGAATTTGTATGGTTTAATAACTCAATAACTTCGGTTAGGTATTGTTTTTTAGTGGTGACAACGGTGCATCGAAATGACGTAGAGAGACATTATGAGATTTTGTGTTGAAGAATATTTCGTAATGAACTAGATTTGTTGATTGAAGTGTGCAGGGGAACAATAGAGGCAGATATGCATTCAAAATGAAATTTTAAGATATAGGGCATTGGAACGTGAATTTAGAGTTAAAGTTTGGCAAATAAAATTTTTGGATTTTGAGTTCGTCAGGGACGACTCTCATTCGCACTGCAAATTTGTGGAGATTGAAACGTAACTCCTTTGGGAGTTGTTTATTGAAGAATTCATTTTGAAACTGATAAGATGTGAACGATTAAGTTGATATGGATGTGTTTGCATTAATCGGTGAAGATGAGATGGGATTTTGAGCATTACGAGGTATTTAGGATTGTTTCTAGTGAACTGGAGTGAGTGCAAGCAAAAGCTGTTTGAGATTTTCAATAAACCAAATTGAACGTATTCATTTGGTTCATGTCAAATATGAGATTGATGTTGTATCACTCAAAAAATATGCAAACATTAAAAGATTTGGTATTGAGCCACCAAACAAAATAAACGCTAGCTCAGGCTCGGTAGTATTAGTGACATTGGTACACTGTTCGTTCTCGGGCACAACTTCTCCTGGAACCCGCAACTTGTCAATTTCCGTTTCTAGAGCGCGGTTCGAGACATCGAGAGGAAAAATTTTACTGGAAACCGAGTTGTGTATAATTTCACTGGTAATAAGAGACGCATTAAAGATTCAGAATACAGAAAAAATCAAACTGCTATTTTTCAGTGATCCTTGTGAAGTGATTATTTTCAGTGATCATTTTGTAGGTTTCAAACCGAAAGAGTTTTTCGCAAAGAATGAGTCATATTTCATAAACTGTCAATAATTTAGATGATATCCTGGAAAAGGTACTTAATTCTGATAATATCATTTAGTTCGTTTTTTTGTCGATAGAGTTATTATCAGACTTACAAATATGTTCAATTTGTTGAACCGAGAATTTTTTGCGAGGATAATGGGACTGTGGAGTTGTTGAGTATTATACTGAAGAAAAAACGATTTGTGAATTGAGAAGGATGTTTGCATTCTTTTGAATGGATTTAATCCCTAGAGTATGACAATAATTAATGAGACCGTAGGCATTATGAAGTTTTGTTGAATGACCGTAATGAAAATGTCGATCTTTGCTGATATTCAGAATATTAATTTGAAAAGGGATGTATGACATTTGGCGTGAAATGAAAGGAATTATCGTGAATTTTAATTTATTGGAATCTCATTTTAGAATTTTGCGTTTATTTGTTTGATATAACAATGAGTTAGTTGTATGGTCTTTGAANATGATTTGTTTTGTGATCGAATGAATTCATGATTTGTTTTGTAGAGGACAAAGCTGTTATGGAGCATTTTATTGAAGTATTTATTTGTTGGTGATGGATGGGTAGGCACTTGGAAGGATTGATCTGATCTGATCTGATCTGATTTAATGAGCAGTGAATAAAAGCAAACCAATAAGTCAGCAACAGCTAATGAAAGAATGAGAATGCCAGTGGGTGATCGCAGCCGTCTCCGTAACATAACAGCGGCAATAACCAACGAATTGCCACTAACAACAATGACAACAAGGATTGTTAGCACAGTGACAATGGAGAATATTCGTAATAAATTTGATTGGTTTGAATGGCTGGACCATTCAAAGAAAGAACACGTGTTGTATGTGGAGTGATTGTGGTTGTAGTTTGACACGAGTGCTTGATTGTACTGAGTTATTGTGGGCATTGCTAGGGGTATTGTTGATTGCGATTGCATTACTGCTGAATTATTTTATAGTGTCACATTTATCTGTTTAGATTAGCGGATGGTTTAGAAGAGATTATATCATTGAGTGGTTGGTTGGTTGGTTCAGTTCTTAGTGCATTTGATTTGAAAACATAGTAGTGCTGCTATGGGGTAATATTGCTGATATGACGTGATGAATATTGAGTTGAGTCGTCAAGTCGTTGTTTGAAGATCAGTGGATCTGAAAAGTATTGATTAGAATTTGATGAAATTTTATTTGTGATATATTGGCCAAGTGGATAATATCACATAGCGGTTATCAAAATATAAATTGAATCAGATTGCAGTTGTTTGAAGCGAGTGCAACGATCTCACAATGAACACGTCATTGCATCTTATATATATATACATCAAATTAAATCTGAATGCACAAAATTCAGTTATCTCTAGACTTCTCAGCACTCCTTCTGAACACAAATCTAATCAATTTTGCTTCACCTCTCTATTCAGCAGCATTCGCATTCATGAATAATGCACTGCATTCACTGACGACGTCTATTAAAAGCTTCGTTTCGCTCGTTCATTCAAACTCAAATGCTAATTTAATTAGCTCTCATACATTCCTTGAATTCGCCCATTTTGCCGTCCCTTTTTTCGATTTCTGTTTTTGTGAATTAGTTAATCATTCAGTCAGTTACCTATTTTCATCATCTCTTCATCCCATTTGAGTATTTCTCGGCTCGTGCACCTCTTTTTTCTCATATTCCTTGTCGACTCTTTATGCTCGATTCGAGATTCACAACCAACTTAGCTCATCAACTAACAATACCGAGTTACATCATTTTCTACAAACGTCTTAGATGAACTTTTATCTGTCAAGATGAAATTTAAATTTTATTCGTTCATTCAATCGTTCTTTTCGTCAAAGGACCAATAAATATGAGTAAAATCTTGATTGAATATGATAAGGGCAAAGAAACATTGAAACATCTTGGCAAACAATATGATAAGGGCATTGAATATGATAAGTTTGAGATGGATAAAATAGTGTTGTTAAATTGGATTATTGTACATTGAAATTGTAACCGAAAGGCACAATTGTACTTATGAAGATAGAGAAATGAATAAAAGTGGTTGCGGAATGATTTTAGCTTAATGATACTAGTTTTGATATGCATCAATGAACTCATTGTATTGCTTGATAACTAATGTCGTTCATCTTCTATAGTGCATTGCAAGAATGCAAATGCGCTCAATCTCGTCGTGAATACAACATCTTGTTGAAAGCCCACTGTTAACTCACGCACCATTTCCCTAACGTCTTAATACTGGCGTTGTGTTAAGACGTTAGGGAAGTGTTGCATGAGTTAATCATTAGCGAGAAAAGTCCTTGTGGGGATTCGGCTCTAGAATGTATTCAGTAAAAAATGCGTTAAGAAGTACAGCAACAAATTGACTCGACAAGCATTCTGACTTAATCATCTGTTCGGTTATATAAAGCATTCTCTTGATGCATGAAGAAAGGTATTGGAAATCTTCTAGATTCACCTCGATTCATTTTATTATACCATACCTTGCGTGTTCGATGAAAATACCAAAAAATAATGTCTCAGTGTAAGTTGAAATGATTGGAACTCTTTTTAAAATTCGTATCAATAAGGATTCTTGAATGCATTCTAAAGTCAAAATAAGAATAAGACGTTAATTATTAAGACATTAATAAAGATCTTATTCATAAAAACGTATTTATGAAGGAATTTTAGGGATGTTATGAGACATCATATTCAAATCATGAAATCCTTTTACTAATCGCATTGTTTCCTTCCCAGCAATAAGATTCCATTCGGATGGCAATTTTTGTCTTAGATTAACTTCAGTTGTTCCGAATATCATTATTTCCGTCTAATTGACCTCTTCAAGTGATTTTTGGAATAAGCAGTGATAAACAAATTCATCATTTATTTAGCTGTTCATAATCTCTCACTTGTTCTATCGAAAATTATTATTACGAAATGATAAATTTATTTTTAATTCAACTTTGCTGGAAATAACGAATAAATGGCAAACATTGAAATATATCTTAACATATTATTTTTTCTTATCGTTGAGCCACAGCTCATTTGATATGTATATATTTATTTCATTTCATAATTGCATAATGTTTTGAAATTGTGGATTTTAATTTGAATAGCTTGAATAAGCATTTTACCATAGGAGTGATAGAGCAAAGAATGTGACATTTGGAAAAGAAAAGGCGGATGAGTAAAGGGGTTTATATTTTGTGATAAAGAATGCGATTTATTGAAGGTGTTTTAGTCACCAATCATTTAGTGAAACTTAAAAATAACTTCTTAATTGGCATCAAATAAGGTTTGATAATATATAATGTTAATGAGGTAGCTGAATAGATGTAAGTGTTATCGGTTTGAAAAATAAGTAAATAAAATTCAGTTCAAAATGACACAATTCAGACTTTTTCAAAAGGGTGTGGTGGCGAGACAGATGTGTCGCTTGTTAACACGACAATGAGATGGCAGTGGATTTTCTTTCGGTTTGCATCCAATCGATGCATGTTTGCTCGAGAAGGCGGAGTGAAGTTTCGTTTATTGAGTATGATCACATATCACACTCCTATTCTTCTACGCTATATTAGCTTAACAATACCGGCTGTCCTCACATCAAAGAGGGCAGTTGAACAATCTGTTTCTATGCTAAACATAGCATTTAAGCTGTAATTTTAAGCTGCTTACAAGTAATTGCGTAATGTTCTACAAATCAGTAAATTAAATTGTTCATCAGCATGATCAGTGTCAAGCTGGTATAAATGAAATTAAAGTAAAACCATAAAAATATGCCACATATATAAACTGTA